CTGGATGGCCATCTGGAAAAATACACAATTAGATACATTCCTCACGCCAAAAACAAGTATAAGCTCCAAATGGATCATAATTCTCTGGGTATTCATCTAAATTGCTGCATGAATCAATAGTTCATTTGTTTTTACTGCTGAGTAATACACTGTGAGATAGATCACAATTTGCTTACCTCTTCTCCTGTTAAAGCACATCTGAATTGTTTCCAACTTCTGACCATTACAAATAGAGCTGCTATAAACACTTACATACAGGTTTTTGTGTGTACCTAAGTCTTCCTTTCCGTGGGATGAATATCCTGGAGTTCAATTACTATCTCCTATGGTAGCTGCGTGCTTCATTTTTTAAGAAAATGTCAAACTGTTTTCCAAAGTGGTTGTAAAATGTTATATCTCCACCAGTAATTTATGAGTCACCCAGTGTCTGTGAATTCTCACCAACATTTGATGGTGGTATTATTTTTTACTTTACCCCTTCTCTTAAGTAATAGTGATATCTCTTGTGGTTTTAATTGTGGTTTTAATTTGCATTTCTCTAGTGGCTAATGATATTGAACATCATTTCATGTGCTTTTTGGCCATCTGCGTATCATCTTGGAAGAGATATCTGTTCATATCCTTTCTCCTTTTCTAATTGTATTGTATGTCTATTGTTGAGTTCTGACAGTTCTTTATATATTCTAGATACTAGACCTTTGCCAGATATGTGGTTTGCCAATATTTTCTCCCACTGTGTAGCTTATGTTTTCATCCTCTTAATAGGATCTTCTACAGAACAAAATTTTGATTAAATGTTGAATTCATATTTATCAATTTTACTCTTATGGGTCATGCTTTTGGTGTCAGTTCTAAGAATTCTGCCTAGCCCTAGATCCTGAAGATTTTCTTCTAAAAGTTTATGGTTTTATATTTCATATTTTAGTCTGTGTTCCATCTTGAGTTGATTTTTATGCAAGTTTTGAGATGTAGGTCGAAGTTCAGTTTTCCCCCTGTATATGTCCAATTGTTCTAGCACCATTTTTTGAAAAGTTTATCCCTCCTCCATTGAACTTCTTTTGCACTTTTGTCAAAATTACTTGTGGATGCACAGGGCACAGAGCAGGATGGAGTCTGCGAGGACCTAAGTACCTCACAAAGCAGCAGTCTGCTAGTGTAATTGTACATATAAAAGGAAATAAAAAGCAAAGATATTCCAAATACAAACCAAAATTTAAAAATAAGATTGAATAGACATAAAATTCTACTTGTTACAAAATTTTCCAAATGTTTCTTGCTGATGACAAAAAGTTGCAAACTGGGACAATTATGACAAGCACAATTTGTGCATTGCTCTGGTGTTTTCTTCCTTTTACTTCCTAGATTTGTTGTTTCCTGCTCCCTTTAAGAAATTCTTCACATTTCTAAGGTTGTGAAGGTATTCTTATTGTCTTCTAAAAGCTTTACTTTTACGTTTCACATTTCGTCATTAAGGGAATTCACCTGATTACTGTCTATGATGTGAGGTAGAGATTCAATTTAATTTTTTTCCTTACGTATCCGATTGTCTTCTATCAGTTGGAAAGATTGTCCTTTCTCCACTGCTTCCCAGCACTACCTCTATCATAGGTCATAGTTTTATTAGCATACAGTGTATTTCTGGACTCTATATTCTATAACGGTGGCCTAGATATCCTGGGATATATGAGGCAAAAGAAAACCTAGGCACCTCATTACCATGTTGCCCAGCCCCCAGGGTCCCTAGCCAGTCTTTCTTCTTCTCTCTACCTTTCAGAACTTTCATATACAATGCCCAGAGTTTTTAGTTATACTTAGTTGGACAAATTGGGAAAAGTGTGTCTACCTCATCTTATTGGATGCACAACTTCAGCAGGTTTGGTTTTTTGAAGTGATAATAAATGAAGCAAATTGAAAGTGTGCTGACATTATTGGGAACAAAGGTTATCACTAAGGCCAAAGGGACATATAAATATAGAATGAGGGAGAACATAAAGATTCACTTGGGATGGAGTGGAACTGGAGGTATTTGTGTAAACTCATATTTTGTTCTTTTAAATATTGCTACATATATGTTCATGTATGTGTTTGTGCACATGATATGTACATTGCGTTCCTTGTTTATGTGTACATATGTGCATGTACATGTGTACATATATGCATGTGTCTCCTAGCTTTGCCTGCTATAAAAGCCAAGAAGCAAACAACATCTATCACCCCCACAGAAATCAACACACCAGTGGCCAGATTGTTGCCTCTACTGCCATTCCTCACTCAAAAACCACAAACACAAAAACAAAATGGCAAACAAACATCAAGACTCCACAAAGGAACTGCTAATTCCAGGGCTAGAGAAAGATGATCTTGGGACATCTTATCTTTCCAGAAAGTTAAAATAAAAAATTTTAAAAAATTAAAAAGTGCTAAAACATTATGTGGCATATTCTAAAGACCTGGGAACCACCAGAAAGGGCTCCCATCGACAAATCTGGGAGCATTAAAAGAATTAAGCACAGTAGGGAATTATAGATCATTGGAAAAAACAGTATTCCACGAATTTTTTCTGATAAACGTGGGACAGAGGGAAATGGTGGAGAAGGAGGATTCCTGCTAATAGCAGGAAACATGATGTGCTATGGATGTGGAGAGTGTTGGAGTCAGAACATTAGTATTTTGCAATCAAATTATCAATGGATGTAAATATAAAGGAAAATTTTGATGGATGCAAGGTGCATGGCCTTAAAGTATTTTTCCACAGATTGCTTCATAGTTACAAGGGGGAAAACAATAATTAGAGAATGTAGAAACAGGAAAAAAAAAACAAAATTGGGTGATCAAAATTTACAGAACCCGTGAGGGGCAGACGGACCTTGCATGCCTTCAGATATGATACTGAGAACACATCAATTATACAATATTCCAACTGAGAATGCACAACCTGAATCTAATCATTAGGAAATATAAGATAAATTTGAAATTGGAAACAATCTATTAAGAAAAAAAGATGACTGGGCCAGCCCCACTAGCCTAGTGGCTAAGTTTGGTGTGCTCTCCTTCAAGGCCCAGGTTCAGTTCCTGGGCGCAGAGCTACACCACTCATCTGTCAGTGGCCATGTTGTCACCACGGTTCACATGCAAAAAGAGGAAGATTGACAACAGATGTTAGCTCAGGGTGAATCCTCCTCAGCAAAAAGAGGAGTATTAGCAATAGATGTTAGCTCAGGGTGAATCTTCCTCAGGAAAAAAAAAAAAAAAAAAGAGGGAAATGAATTCTTAAAAAGTATCATAAAAGCAAAACAACAGCTATGGAATTTCCAGATTAAAGGAGGCCAAAAAGATGTGACAACTAAAAGCAATAGTTGATCCTAGATTGGACACTTTCCTAGAGAGAAAAATGCTGTAAAGGACATTATTAGTTCAAGCGACAAATTGACAAATGGCTAATAAATTAGATTAAGCTTATATTAGTGTTAAATTTACTTGAGTTGATAAAAGTACTTGATTATATAGAGAAATATCATTACCCTTATAAAATGTACACTGAAATGACGAGTAAAGGGGCATGGCATATATATATTATCCTCAATGGCTCAAATCTCTCTCTCTTTGTCTAACTATAGATCAAATGATAGAGCAGATACAATAAACACTAACAATAAATAAATCTAAGCCAAGGGCATATAGGTGTTTTATATTATTTTTATTCTTGCAACTTTTCCGTATGTTTGAAGTTACTCCCAAATAAAAAGTTTTTAAAAGTTAAATACTTTCCATAGTTCCATAAATTAATAAAAATGAGCTCTGAAAAGGTTATTAGCCACTGACTTTCCTGTTCTGCGTCTTGCTGTCCTAACATGCAAAATGGGGGTAATACTATTATCTACCTTATGATGTTGTTATGAGGATTAAAAATATTAATACATACGTGATGCCTAGAAGGTGCCTGGTAAGTAGTAGGCACTCAATCAATATTCCATTTCATCGAGCGTGTGTTGTGGTGGTGGCAGTAATGGTCATTGCTGTCATCATCATGGTAGACCAAAGCCTGGGGATCAAAGGACTCTATGACAGATCTCAGACTAATGCCAAGGATCATGGTTCCCATTTCTGCTGTTTTCCACTGCGTGGCATTTTTTGATCTGAGTCTGGTCTAATATTGCTAGTGGTAGACCCTAATTTGAGAGAAGATAACTTCAGCCTTAGTTTTCCAGCCTTGTTGCAGAGACAGGACATAAAGAGTACACGTTCATTGGCAAGTTGTCTTCCAACTTTTCAGAGGGGTTGGTTCTAGAATCTGAAGTCACAGGGAATAGTGCAGAGTTTGGCAATAAACCTTTCCAATATTATTTATTATTTATATACCCTGAAAAGTCTCCTTTCTTTCTCAAAGAGCCTTCCATGTTTTTTGTGGCATTTTCTAAAAAAAAATCTCTGGGCTTACAATTAACCCTTTACACCTTCAAAGCATTTTCGTGGACGCTTTAAATGATTCACTCATCGCCCAGGGCTTTCCTCATACTTGGCATTGGATTAAAGTTTAAGGGAAACCTAGGTTGGATTTGAATTCAGATTCTGCCTCTCGTCCCAAACGTTTCTACTATGACATGGAATTCCTGATTTTGAAAGTTGTTTATTAGTTTAAACCACCACAATTTGATTATTATGAATCCAAGTCTGCATCTGATAGATTTCTGTGAAATAAATATTTTGAATTGGCTTCTATCCTGCCTAGGGAAACAACCTGAAAAGTTTGAACTTAGGGACCCATCAGTTAGACTCGATGCTCAAAACATAGGGGCTTGAAGGGGGGAAAATAATCAATTCTAGGTATAAAACGTTGAGTAGAGAGATCTTTTCGTTTTTTAAATTCAGTGCATATGAGGGAAGCCCTCTTCTCTATGTAAGGCTGATCCCATCTCCTTTCTTTGATTGATTGCTAAATCTATTGATGAGGGAGCTGTTCAGCCAGAATCCCCGGCAGCAAGGTCAGTGGACGCATTCCTGAGCGGGGAGGCTGGGGTCTGTGCAGGAGCCTCCTCCCGGCATGAACATTTTGAGTATGCAGAACACATCTGCTCAGCCCGGAGCCGGCAGTTAGTGCATACACACACACACACACACACACACCAGCGCTTTCCCCTCAAGTGAGGCGGCATTAGCAACTGCAGTCCCAGCCTCTTCGGCTGAGGCACCAGCGGCCACTGCCTGATTTGTTGGAGCAGCGCTGGAGCCCAGTTTCCGAGGGACCTGGGAACACGCTGCTGTCACAGCCAGTGGCAGACAGCCACTTCTTCCCCGCTGCTTCCCTAGCCCTGGCCAGAGGGCATCCTCTTCCAAAAGCCGGTCAGCCTGGGGAGGAGGTTGCTCCGTGAGGAAGGTAAGACTGCCTCCCAGTCGCTCTCTCCTAACGCCAGCTGTCTCACAGTCCACTTTCAGGTAGGCGCTTGCAATTTCTTGTTTTTAGGTATCGGAAAACCTTCTCCGTCATCGCATTTACTTTAACTGACAAAGTCTCTTTCGCTATAGGAAGCAGAACGCCAAGGGTTTGATAGTTCACAAATGATTTTTCTGATTAAAGTTTTGATGCAGATGATAACTCTCCTTCTCTCTCCCCACCCTTATTAATGTTCCACAAATGTGAAACTCAGCTTCAGGTTTTCACTCACAGACATCTCAGCATTTGGAGTGCCTGCCGTTCCGACCTTTTGAGTTAGTTGACAATTGTTATGCAACTCTGCCTGTGTAATTTAAAGAACTTTAAATATTCTCTTCTTCGGTTGTGAAAAACATACCTCTGTCTTCTTAAATAAGAGCCAAATGACTCAAACTCTTCCTCAGCATTTCACATTCGGTAATATAGACAGGAGGGAAAGTTGCTGAATCACAGAAGTTTAATATTCATGCAAATTGCTGTATTTGTCAGAGAAAGCCAGGAAGCAAATGTCTTTTCATCTTTTTGAGCTCATATGCGTATCTGGATAATGTGGGTTTGAAGAGGGGAAGTTTCTGGTTGAGATAAGTCTGTCTGCTGCAGTAAGGTGGGTAAACTGATTATTTGTTATGGTAGAGGATTAACTGGAAATTTCTTCTGCTTCAATGAGCTAGATCCTAGGATGCATTCTTAGCTGACAAATCTCTTTGTAAAACTCCAAACAAACGATTTGTTGATTTGAGCCTCCTTGCTCTAATAATGTTAACCTGCATATGTTATTGCCCCCAACATTTCTTGTCTGTGCATGTTTTCTTAGCTAAAATTCTAAGCAAAATAATAATAATAATAATAATAGAGAAAAATTTGAGCAACTTTTTATCATCCTCATCCCTTAATATTCCTTTCAATTATTTCATGCACATCATCTCACAAAAAATTCCATGGGGGGATGATAGTCATAGTTTAGCCAATTGAGTTGAAATGATCCTAAGGAAAGAGTTTTCTAGAAGACATGCATTCTATATGCCAGTCAGGCTCATGGTGCCTCTGAGTTGTTACTGAGTTTAAAAGTGAGGTTTTGAAGGAATTTGTGGTAAGCAGTGAGTTAATCAGAAGACGCAGGTTTTTGTGACTGTTTTTACAGGCAGCACTTTGTGCACTGCTCTTGTAAAAGTTAGTGTCTTTTTTCATTACCCTTCTGGGAAGTGCCTCCAAGCCATAGCGTGTCTTGATGGCGTGCCTGTCTTGATGTGGATGAGGTCAGTTCTGATGTGGGAGCATGGCACACGACACTAGGCAGATCTAGGTTTATGCTTGAAAGTCACGGCATCACTTGGGGTCAGGAATTTTCAAGCTCAGCCAGCCAGGTACCTTCTCCTCTAATAACTCTAGGGACCCTCAGAGCAAAAAGACCATGTGTGTGGTGCTTTCTGTCTGTTGGCCCTTTGGAAGGCAGAGGAAAGAAAGAAGAGTTGCCTTCTTCACTTGTCATTAATGTTTGATGCAACCAATCCCTCTGCAGTGTTCAATAGAGACTTTCAGTCCATGACAAATATTTAACATATATTTTGTGTCACTGCTTTCATCTCTCATATTATCTATGGTTTCTCCATTGGCTGCTCTTAAAATAATTTGGCAAAGTATATTCTACTGTCTGCTATACAGTAACACATACATCAAGAAAGCAAAACTTTACTTTTTGCTACTTCACACTTTGATTCATATTAAAACTTGGAATAAACCTGCTCATATGACTTTCTCCATGGTGCTGTGGCAGCTGATGGCTCAGCCTAAGGTATTAGTGTTGCTCCTGGTAAAATCAGGAGATCAGAAGCAGCAAGGAAGATAGAGGGCACATAATTCTTTCTTTTGATGTCGGGTGGGTGGTGTGTACTTGGAATGGAATCTTGGAGAGAGAGAGAACACACTTTTTGTTTTTCTTTGCCAATGGTGACCAATTCAGCAAGCAACCTAAGAGATCCATAGATGTTCTCTTAACCAGGCCTCTGGGTGAAAGGTAATTTAACTCAGTTATTGAGCTCTCTTTCTCGTTCTTGGTCTCCCTCACTCTACGTTCTCCCTGATGTCGATTTGTGATGTCAGCTGCTTGCACATTATGGATAGCCATTCTGAGCTGTCTTTGCTGAGAGAGAATCAATTTCATTTTATTTGGAGCCAGGGGTGATGACTTCTCTGTCACTATGCTGGCTCCTTGTCACCAGCCTTCTTAATTTTGCAACACTTTTTTTCTCCTCTACATTTGATGGCTTTTCTTGGGTAACTTGGTAAATTGCTATTTGGGGGGATTTTTTACAATTAAGGCAAAGGATGAATACTACAGACTGGATCAAAAAAGCAGGTTAATGTTCAGTACTGTGATATCACACACACTTCAATTCTCGGCAATCAATGGGGTGAGATTGATGGTGCAGTCCGCAGACGTTTCCACACATGCATGGTGACTTTACGGACCTATGCTGACCAAGGCAAAAGGAAAAGAGAAAAATACAAGAAAAACTTTATAAGCTTTCATAAAATGCAAACAGGTGCTGACTACCAAGAAAACCACATAGTTATACTCACAAGTTGATTTTCCCCAAATTGCCTTGGATTATACAGTAGCTCTAACAATGGCATATTGTATGCACCCTTCAGGGCTGTACTGAGTGATGGCTGTAAATTAGAATGAAGAGAAGAAAATGCTTTACGGTTTCAATATTGAGGAGAATTAGGATCCAGATGGTAATGCTTTTTATAGCAATACATTGGATGGTGTTGCAAGCTTCTGTGGCTACTGCCCTATTATATTCTCCCTGCTGAAATGCAGTTTGGCAGAGAAATTGATTGCACAGAGCCATCTTGCACACCTAAGAAAGTGAACTTCCTCTCCATGTTAAATTTTCCATCTTTGCTGGCTTATTTCTATTTCCCTAATCCTTCTTTTTTCTTCCCCTCAGATTCCAAATTCAATCAAAAGTAAATAATGTGGTTTGTGGTTATTGTTGCTTTAGTTTTAAGGTGATGTTTTCTTTCCTCTCTCTCACTCTTTTTCTTTGCCCCAGGTATCTTTCTCACATTTTGAGTGCATCTGAAAAGTATATGAGACTGTTTGGACATGGATGCAGAATGGTTATTAGACAGCCTTCCATCCGGCTTTCTAAATGTCTCTAGTCTAAGACCAACTCTTCTAATTATCCTGTCTCTGTAAAGACAATTCTGATGAGAACTGATGGGGGAGCACCTCGCTTGTTTCCTTGTTCAAGACTTTAAGTTTGCTTTGAAGGGGTCATTTTTCTCCTTTCTGTACTCTCTGGTGAGAATCTCACCACGTCCAACCTCTGGGGCCACAGTGACATCTCTATTCAGGCGTAGATATAAAGAGTGAGCCACCTAGTGGTCATGAAGAGTAACTTTAATATTCTTAGCTGAGCCTTCCAAGTCGACGACAGGGCATTGCTAATTTTCTGTTATATTACAAAGGGGTGTTGGTTTTCCGAAGGCTTCCTCTAACGGTATTTTCTGCTTCCCAAATCAATTGTTAGTCACAAGTACAAATTTCTTCACTTTATGCCTGACTTTTATTGCCTGATATAGCCTGTCTCTTTCACCTCAAATTTTTGCTTTTTGTGTGCATATATTTTTTAAAAAATATGTCTATGTTATTGTTTGTGTATTCAATAATACATATTTTATACATATGTTATACAGATTAAAGTATCAAGATACTTCAATAAAGAAAAAACTTCATAAAGAAAGCCATAAAATGACATGTTTCCTCGGGGTACTTATACTGCATTTCAAATAGCTTATATATAAAAATAGTTTAATATATCTACATGTTGGTGCTTGAGGCAGTATTTATATATGTGTGAATGTAAACATATGAAGAGAATACAAAAGAAAGTAAATAAATAAATATAGATAGGTAGATACGGGTAAATGCACGCCTTTGTTCTAGATCAAAATAGAGCTGTTAGGTGTTCTTTCCTATGCCTTTTTTCAGACTCTAATCCAGCTAATCACCTACCAGACTACAACAGCCTGAGCCTTGTTTGCTTATTCCTCTTGAGCACAGCTCTCTCTGTCTTTCAGGTCAGCACTGGCCTTAGTGTAGGGGGCATATCTCTGGCTGGAAACAACTCTTTGGAAGGATTGTGGCTAAGGGCATGCCTTTGGGAAATGGAGTTCTCTAAATATATACTGTGAGTGTGGAGGTGTTGTGCAAATAAAGGACACGATCATTCCAGGTGATTATTTCCAATTTGGAAGAATCGGGGTCAGAAAGGGGAGATCCAGTTAAATCAAGATTTGCTTTAATTGTTTTTTACTCTATCAAAAAGAAAAACAAATTTGAGAAGTGGAACGGCAGGTCATTCGGTTAATTCTTGAATGCATTATTTAAAGAGCATGCTGGCTAGGATCAAGGGGTAGCTCTGCTTTCCAGGTCTTAAATTCAGTCTCCGTTTAGGCAGCCCCCGTCTTATCAATGCTGTTCTCCAGCTGCTCTTACTCATTTAGGCACATAGCCAGTATAAACCAATAACTCTTTGCACCTTTTTAAAAAATAGCAGAAAAACATTATTTTGACAGTTGCTTTTCCAAGTATGTTACCTACAGCTTGAAGTATGACTACAAACAGAAATGAATAATTGTTGATGTGATCTCAAGAAGTTATCATGTAATGCTCCACTTGTTTGAGACCTAAATGGTGAAAAGAAGTTCAGGTGTCTTATTCCATTATTGCCCTTGAAGTAGAATCAGGTATAATAAAATCATTCTATTCGTCAGCAGCCAGCTCCCATATCATTTCGAGGAAATAGAAAAAGTGCATTAAAATAGTTTTAATATAACAAGTAAAAATCTTGAGTATTCAAATCTTCAGATAATTCCCACTAAATGTTGTGTTCCTGAAAATTAGTACAAGTGTATGCTTAAACAGTGACAAAGTTCAATGTAAAATTTTATGTTGATATTTTTGGACTGTAAATATTGCTTACTTGGGGGA